CAGTGCTCCCAGCAGGCACAGGCATACCACTCATAACCACCACTGATCCAGCCTATTTCAGAACATGAGTTGTTCTCTTTTTATCACAATTTACTGTACATGAAGAGAAGTTCTTGAGAACCTGAAAGACTGCACATACTCTGTCTGATTTTTGAGCCTAACAATTGTATTATCCAACAGTTATAATTTTTAAATAAACTAGAGGTAGTCCTCAACTTACAACTTTTCATTTACAACTGTTCAAGTTACAACTGCATCGGAAAAAATGTGACTTATAATTGTCCTCATGCCTATTGCAGCATCTCCACAGTGATCAAAATTTGGACACTTGGCAACTAGCATATATTTCTGACAGTTGCAGCATCCCATTTATGACCTTCCCAGATGGTTTCGGATAAGCAAAGTCCATGGGGGAAGCTGGATTCACTTAACGACAGCATGGTTCACTTAAGAACTGCAACAATACACTAAACAACTGTGGCAAACAGTTGTAAATCTGGGGCGACTGACTTAACAACCATCTTGGTTAGCAATGGGAATTCTGGTCCCAACTGTGATCGTATATAGAGGATTACCTATATTGAGAATCTAATGCAGGAATCGAGGGATATGGTTGTTACTTTTGTGTATATGTAGTTAGTTAGGATATCTGAATGAATGTCCTTTAAAGTGCTTACCATTTGGCAATGTGAGAAAAACCCTTAGTATTCTTATCAGGAGTAGTCTAGTGCTTTCCATCCATGAATGGATGTTTTAAAAGCAATCGAGAGCAAAATAGCTAGAGCCCTGTAAGAAGTCAACGCATCAGTAAATGGTACAATTACAGGAATGACTCACTGAAAAACTGGCTTAAAGGGTTGAAGAAAAAGAATCTGGAAGAGATGATACTACTAACGGATAGACACCAAAGTCCAGAGCAGTTCCAGAACACCAGCTACTTAGGAATCCTGGCCAGTTTATAATGTATTCATCATTCTCATTCAGAGTAATAAAACTGGATAGCAAAAGCATTAAGACGGCCCTTTGCAATAGCTCAGTTAATAAGAAATATGTTCAATCTTTACATTCATATGCAAACCATTTAAATCAATTTTGATGGAATAAATAGGATTGTCGTTACTTTGCTCTGAAGGGGGACACATCTACAAACATTCATTAGTAAAATGTTGTGTGTTTTCTGCAAGCCCTATTGTGGGGGCTATGAGAAAAATGATTATTGATTCTTAGCATTTTCTGCAAATATATTCTGGTCATAGAATTTTTAAAATTGTGCATTGCTCAATTTTTAAAACGGCATAGAGTGTGCTTGCCTATGTGTCTGCTCAGGCATGAATCCCCACTGAATTTAAAATTGCAGCTATGATCAATTAATTTCTGGAATAGTAGTCAATAAATTGAATTATCAATTAAATTTGTGTAGGTATAAATCAGGATTCCTGATTTTAAAATTACATTTCTTTACTTGAATGGATGATATCCATGTTTGGTTCCATATTTTTAAAAAACCCAATTCTAGTCTCTCTTATTTTGAAGGTGACTGATGAAGAGCAAGGCACACCTGAGACATATTTGATAAAAAGAAGTTCTTTGGATTTAATCTGAGTTAAGAATAAAACCAGTCACTCTTATGACCTTTTTAGGGAGGAAGGGAGAAAGAATATGACCATATTGATTTTCCTTAATCTCTTGGTGATTTTGGATGGTCGTGACTACAATAGTTTCCTAGACCAGCTGTGCAAAAGGCATGATTTTCACAATGCTTCTGCGCCTACCCACATGATAGTATTCAGAGGATAATGCAAGGCAATTGTACCCGATCCTCATGGCAATTAGATTCCATTTTGTTCCCATATCCAGATGACATTGCTGAGGGAGGCTTCAGCAGTATGTTGAAGATTCCACACCTATTTTTAAAAAATATCATCTGAATAAGGAAATATGATACTGTGATAGGGACAATACATTGAATCTGAGATTTGATCAACTAGACTTTCCCATCTTCTTTTTTCCAATAATTGGGAAGGTCGCTTACTGTATTGTACTCTCCTTGAAAGACTAGGAGTTTTATCTGGAGTAACTCTATTGATGGATGCTTAAATGGCCTTTTCCAAGGAAAGGCTGTTCATCAGATACATAACTTGCTCTCAGTTATCTCTACACTGGAAGCCTTCATCCTGGTTTCTTACTTCCTGCTGTATATGGGTTAGCATGAGAATTATATCCAATGTAAAATGCAATGCAAAGTTTGGCAAGCAAGTATGCTGCAAGCAAATAGAGTACTTATTCAAAAGACATCATCCTGACTGGTGATTTGCTCCCTAGTTTTGTTCAGAATACGTACAATAACATACAAAAATGTAAAGAATTAACTACTTGGACAAGGAAAAGAGTCTTCCTTCTGCACGTTCTTGCCCATCAACAAAGATTTACTGGTGATACTTCTCTTGAGAACGCTGCATCTGCCAATGAACGGCTATGCAAGACCTTGACTATGGACATTCTCGGTACAAGCCTCCAATCTACCTATCTGAGACATTTCCTCCCTAGTGAGATTTTTTTGATTCCTCCTTAAAACCTATGTCCCGAGTGTTCAGTTATACTACCCTACTGTCAGTGGTGGGTTTCAATTTTTTTTAGAACCTCTTCTGTAGGTGTGGCCTGCTTTGTGGGAGTGGCTTGATGGCCATGTGACTGGGTGGGAGTGGCTTGACAGTCATGTGACTGGGTGGGTGTGGCCAACTTGTAAAATGTGGTGGAACTCACTTAACAACGCTCTTGCTTAGCAACCAAAATGTTGGCTCAGAAATTCTGGCATCTGAACCACACAAATCTTAAAGCTGTCAAGTTACAAGACTCTTGCACCCCTAACCCTTTAGAAACCCCCCCCCAGGGGTGTTCAAACTTGACAGCTTTAAGATTTGTGTGGTTC